GATGGGTATGGAAACAAAAAAGATTAATGGAAACTGTTCAGGGGCACCCCTTACATATGCCTCTGCCCTTGGCTTATCATCTGCCTGTTAGGAATGACTGAGTGCAACCAGGTTGCTCCTTAAAAGGACAAGGATAGTGAGACTTCATCGCGCATACTTTGGGCATGATGTCAGGAGAAGCTAGGCCTTGGAAAAGGACATCATGCTTAGAATATGGGAGGGTCAGTCAAGGAGGAAGACCCTCAACAAGATAGATTGACCCAGTGACTGTAAGCTCGGCAGAGATTGTGAGGGTGCAAAGGACAGAGCAAAGCTTCTGTTTGTGTACACAGGGCCGCTGTTACTCTGAGATGCCTCAGTAGCACCTAACAACAACAACAACAGGTCTGGTTACTCACTTACTTGTCTGTCTAAACACCATCTCCAAATTGTCCAGTTCTCAATAGGCAGCCTATTCAGATTTTGTGAAAATGAGAAATTACCTAAACGGGACCCACTTTGCCTCGTGTCAGCTAGAATTTGCGTTCTACATTTTGCTCTAAAGATCTTCTGATTTGGTTAATTGCTAGAACAGAACCTCAAAGTCTCAAACTTTGTCTACAACAAAGTTCCATATTCCCAGGAGGAGTGGTTGCTTCGTTTACATGTATCTCTTAGCTGAAATCTTACTAATCTTAACCATATAATTTATGTTTAGATATGTTAGAATTAGGTATTATGAATATGTTTGCAGTATTTCATAGTGAACATTTTTAATTACCTCTAATTTTTTAAAATTATAAACGATATGTACCCTCCCTCTCTCTGAATTCTCTATTATTATTCTTATCCTGCTCTACATTTCCTTTTCACCTTACTGTTATCTCTTGACTTAGTTATTTAGTACTGTTATCACAGAAGCACCACATATGAATGAGTTTAAAAAATAAATTTATGTTCTTAGCATGTAGAAGACTAGAAGTCCAAGTTCAAAGCTCTGACTCTAAGGGAAGGCTTTCTTCCTCTTGAGGCTCTGGAGAGAAAAGTCCTTATCTCTTCAGCTTCTGTTTCATGGTTCCTTGGGAGTTCTACATGTCTTGGTAACTGTAGTACCCTATTGCTATTCTGCTTGCTTATTTTATTTGCTATCTTTTATGTCTCATAAGAGATTGAACTCAAAGTACACCCTACACTAATCTTGCCTCATTGATATAACGAAGACACCAGCATCTCCAAATGGGATTATAACTGTAAGCATAAAGGTAAGGATTTACAACACATATTTTGGGGGAACATAATTCAATCCATAATTCCACCTGTTGCCTTCCAAAAGTCATGGCCCTTGTTGTAGTTAGGTGCCCGTGAGTTGGTTCTGACTCACAGAAACCCAACACACAGCAGAAGGAAACACTGCTCAATCTTGAGACATCCAAAACACATTCGCCCAATCATATCATCCCAAAAGCTTTGAATTAACATTAAGTCTTCAAATCTCATCTTCTAAATCATCTAAATCAAATATGGGAAGGATTTTAGACATCATTCATCCTCAGGCAAAATTGTTCTTCATCTGTGAACCTGTATAATTAAATAAGAAATCTAGTATACAAATGATAAGTTTCCTTTTTTTCACTTTTTAAAAATTTATTATTAATTT